GGAATGGGACTTCAAAATGGAAGGAAAGTAATTCCGAAAGCAATCGGCCTGATTTACAACAAATATTTATTATATTGGTCTATTTATTATTTGCATTTCTGTTTTTATTGTACTTGTTTTTTGTACTTTTGTCTTCGTTGTATGTTTAATTGTGTACATCATGCCACCACCTACACCAACACAAATTCCTTATGGTTTTTGTACTCGGCGAATAAAGGGATTCTGATTCTGATTCAGTCCGTTCCCTGTCCAAATGCTAGGTCAGTCATTCTTTATCCCCTTTGTCATGCCAGATGAAACCTCCATTCTCTCCTTGACTTCTCCCATGTTTTTAATTTGCTATCCCAGTCCATATTCGAATTGTCAACTGAAAACACTGTGCACCTTAACTATTGTCCTCACGGGAGCACCACTGGTCACGTTTGCAGGCTGTTCGAGGCCAGCAGTGTGGAGGGGATCCTGGAGAATCTGCGACGGGACGGCTCTGCATTTGCACAGAAGCAGGCAGAGGTGAGAGGCAGGGTCTGTTTAATGGGGGGCCTGTCCAACCCCCCACCGCCCCCCCACACACACACCACTGAGAAGGAATGAACCGCTTTGGTAATCAGAGAACCCCCAGTGACCTCGTATCCTCTGCCCGGGCTGAGCCTAAACCCCCCTCCTAGCTAATGCCAGGCTCCTGTAATCAGAGCACAGGTGGCAGTGTGTCAGGGCTGGGCTCACATGGGTCACATGACTGTGTTTTCATTTAGCCAGGAAAAAATGTGCAGCATGTGTGGCTCAGCAGTTTCGGTCACTGTGCCTGTGATGGGAATGTCGCTGATTCAGATCCCCTGGCCTGCAGAGTGACTTTACGTTGAGCAAAGGCCCTGAACCCACAGCTGCCCCAGGGACTGTCTGACCCCCTTCTCAGCTGCGTGTCACTTTGGATAAAAGCAGCTGCCAAAAAACTATATTATGAAAGCCTACAAGAATACAGTAGACACTGAGAATCCAGATTCAAGTTTAAAGTCCTGATTTTGAGACTTGAAAGCCATCCATACAATAATGATTTAGTATTGATTTCTCAGTTACCAGACTGTGGAAAAAGATGTAATTATGTCCAAATTGATGGTGGTTTTAAGAACACCGTGGTCTGATTGGGCGCATTGACAGCGATCTGGTCTGTGTTCTACCACTGAAGTGTAAGATCACACAGGGTGCCGCTACCTGTTTTAGCCAGACTGCCCTCATCTCCAGCTCTGGGGTACAGGTCTCTGCTTTCTCCTGCGCTGTTGTCGTAGAGCTCTGTGGCAGCAAGATAACGAGCTAAAATGCAGCGGAAATAACAAGGTATTTGACACACTTTCTGGTGTGATTTTTTTGCTGTTAAATTGCACGTGTAGCGTGGTGCTACCTGACAGTTAACTTGCGGCATTTCGGGGCATTTTCACCTGCAACAAGGGATCAGCCCACCTGCTGTGACTGGATGCTGCTTGGTTGCCATAGTACTAAGGTGTTTTCCCCATATGTTTAATAAATAACATACAAATATAGCATATGTAATTGAATGTAATTTTGATGGCCATTTGTTGACTGTAGAGTATGTTGCAGAGCAAAGTATAAACACTGGACCAATTTAATTTCAAGGGCTTGACAAGTGCATCACTGCGACGATTAAAAATAGCTTGTCTATAGTGGTGATTGTAGTTCATCTTTTCACTCAGACTCCTGCTCCAGTCTCTCCTCATGATCCCAATGTTTAACACCCATGTCAAATCCCACATTTTTAGTAGCTTTTGGCCAATTTGCAACATTTTGGGCTACTGTATGAGCAAAGCCTGAGGCATCCATGGAGGAGCTTTCATAATTCAAACTCAAAAAGAATAATGTACAGTAGAATGAAATTAGCATTCTATACTTACTAGACACTTTAAAACAATTTCAACATTATGTTATGGGTTTCTTCTTAAAGGATAAAAGAATAATGTTTACAATAGTGAGCTCAGCTGTACCAAATGCCATTTAGCAAAATTCATTTAGCTAAATTAAATTAATTTCCATTTGAATGTGCATAGATAAGAGTACCAAACTAGCATAACTGAGGTATAATCACAAAGGCGACACCATATTAAAAAGCCGGGCACATTTGTATCTTTGAGTCATCTGTAAAAAATTGTTTGTTTTGGGCAAAGGTTAATTAGATCATCTCCACTTCAGAGGAAGACAGCCCTTTGGTAATCGATCTCTTGAAGTATAAGTGTTTAAACTCTAATAAATATTAATGGAAAAATAAGTAAACACTACCTCACCAAAAGTCAGTCAGCTTTTCACGGAGAATGTCCTTATTCTCAGAAGTGGACACTTCAGGCAATCTGTCTTCTGTTGGGATGGACTCAGGGATTTTCCAAGTTCTGCAATGTTGTTATTAACATATTATTAACATTATTATTATTAAGTTCTACTTATTTATCTGTCACCTACAAGTAAGGATCAGAGAGTGGGGTCAGCCAGGCTGTCTGGAGCAGGTGGGGGTGACATCACTCTGCCAACCATGGGTTCCTTTGTTATAATCGGTGGATCAATCCTGCTAATTACAGGCATAGTCGCACCTTTGTGACCCTTCACCTCCACTCTGTATATCTGACTATGATTCAGACGCTTCCCGCTTAATGGGACACGCTGAGGGGGTGCATTCATTTCTTTGTTCGTTCGTTTGTTTGTTTATTCCTTTCTTTAGTTTGTTTGCCCGTTCGTCCGTTTGTTTGATTGTTTATTTGTTAGTTCATTTGTTCCTGCTGCTTGCTGTGGCAGCTGTTGTGGCAGGAATGCACCGCAGTTAAACCTTCACCAGCTTTGCCGCAAGGCCGTAGTGGATTTGCTTAAGCTCTGGTGTGTTAGAGTGCTGCAGGATTTCCAGGATGACGGTTTGAGTTTTTCCCATGGAATTAGACCTTATTGAACTTAATTCACCGCGTTTAACTTCAGAATAGGACAGAATTTCAGCGCTGAGATGGGTCCCTCCAAATATTTGCCCGTTCAAAGGTGCTTATGTCACACACCCAAAGCGAGGCATGTATAAACATGGTCAGCATGGAGTGGAGAGTCTCTGCTGATTACGATGTAATGGGTCTGCACGATCGGTCCCTGTAGATTATTTGTAGCTAATGATAGTGTGTATCTCTGTTTATATCGCTAATTCCGATTACTTTGCTTATCCAGAAGTGGGCTTGGTGTGGTTTTATCATTGTTTATTTTATCCTGAGAAAGTGGGTGGGTGGTTTTTAAGGACAGATATGATTTGTACCTCCCTGAGAGAATGGCTGCTTTGTATGTTATGACCCTTCTTATGGGAAAACCTTTTCGTCTTGTATTTCTTCTTGTATTCTGCCTGTATTGGTTTTCGTTGTTATTCCAAATGTTCCCATATTCGCTGATTTTCCTGTATACTCTCATACAAGCAGCCCGGCCACGTGAAAGACAAACTGAAAGCATATTGATTGGCTGAAACTGTCACGTGACTCCTTAATAAAGCTGTACTGGCCTTTGGCCTGGTTGTTTTCTCACTTGCCTGCCCTCCCACTCGGTTGTGTGAAGGCAGACATTATCAGCATAAATACAGTGGTACCTCAGTTCTCAAACTCATTAGAACTCGAATTTCTTAAAAGTCGAACCAACCAGTTTGAAAAAAAATTACCTAGAGCTCGATCTGAATCTCAGAAGTCAAACCGTGAACGCCGACCTAAGATATCTTGTACGTACAAGGAAATGAATCTCAAGGCATGTCTCTCAGCGGAAACAAAGCGTAACGCTTCAGTCTCAGCCTCGCATTCGCTGTGATAGCATCGTGCATGTTTACAATAGCTGAATACATATATTTAGACAGTAAAAATACATTTAGACAATAATAGACAGTAACAGTAATTATTATTATATAATAAAATACATTTTAAAATAGATTTCTTATTCGTTATTTTAATATTAATAATAAACCATTAATACATTTAATTATAATAATATTGTCATGCCCAGCAGGGACGGAACGGAGACAAAGGCGCAGACATCAGGGTATCAGGGAATACGGGGTTTAATTACAGGTAAGGCAGGCAAAACGCAGACGGACAATACAATGACCGGACTGGGGAAGCAAACTGAAACGTGGATGAAATACAGAGGACTAATGACAACAACCAGAAACAGCTGATCACACGGGGATTCCACACGGGGTTAACGAGGGGGTGTGGCACACGGAAGGAGTGGACGATCGGGGCAGAACACATTGTTTGGATACATTTATTTTCTTACTTTAAAAATTACTGTTTTGATAAATGTGCTTAGATATGTTTAGTACAGTATATGCTCTTCTTGTTTTATCTGGTTCATTTTGTGTTTAGATGTTTAAAAAAAAAATATTTAGGTATAATTTTTTTGGGGCCGGGAACCAATTAATTGGTTTTACATTATTTCTTATGGGGAAAATTCGATCACAACTCGAATTTTTTAGAATTCTATCCGGAGTTCTGAACGGATTAAATTCAAGTTCTGAGGTACCACTGCACTTCCCATTCAGTGGTGGGTCTGCCTCTACCCCATCTTTCCGTAGATCACGGGCAGATCGCTCCTCCCTCCCTGCTTCCAATGGCTTCCTCCATCACCAGGTCGGAAGCTGTCATCTTTGGTACGGTCCCATTCACTCTCTTTCTAGCCCCACCCACCCTTTTCAGCTCAATCCATTCTGATTCTTCTCAAGATCCCGCAGGTGCAGTAAAAACACAGCAACAATGTCACCTAAAACATAACTGAAATGGAAACTCGGGAGGTCGACCCTTCCGCTCTCCTAATTTCTGTTGCGGTGCTGAAATCGACCTGTTCCAGGCCATTGGCATTTCTGCCTCATTTCCCCAGGCCTAAACGGGCCCAGATGTACCGACACCGGTTCTTTCCGAGGGTTTCCCGGGGTCACTCCGGACCGGAGCAGATGAGACTCACTTTGAAGTCAATCTCAGTCGCCTCCTGGTTCTGACCCGTTCTCAGTGGAGCCAGTGAAGCCGGGACCTTTATTTAATTACTTAAGTGTGGGTGTCAGGGGTGTGAAAGGCAGCTTTAAATGTGTTTAGCTCAGTCATTTTCCTCTGTTTTCATGGAAGTCACTACTCCTCAACTCCCAATTATCATCTTCCTGCTAAAACTTACGCAACTACATAAAATACTTACTGATATAATAAAATTTTTAATTTTAGTTATATTTTAAAATTTTATTTCTATTTTTATTATTGTTATTTTAACCTTATGTTTATTTCTCTTTTTTTATAATATAATGCGAATTTCCTTTTGAGCACAATCCAGCAGGTGGAAAAAGCATTTCACTACACAGAGGTACAGTTTATGTTTGTGGCTGTGACAAATAAAACATGAAGTTCCCTGTTCTGCTTCACTCCGGATGCCTGTTAACGTGACGCGGAGTCCGGACAGCCGGAACGCTGGCATACTCATGGCCCGTAACATCTCCCAATCCCACAGACGCTGTGTAAGATGTCGCCGACATCGCTGAAGATCACCTTCCGGCAGCTGCAGACAGGGGCAGCGCTGAGCCTGCAGGAGGTGCTGGTTATGGAGTACCGGCTGAGCCAGGCCTGCATGGTAGGTGACAGAACGCGCCCCTGTCACCACGCTGGGCACAACTGCTCGGGCTCCTCCGTCCCATTGTTTAAATTTAGCACATACAGACACACTCACCTGTTTAGCTGTCACGGAGATTAAAGGTGTGTGTGTGTGTGTGTGTGTGTTTTTTTTTTCCCCAGAAAGGGAATGACTTCTACGAGGGAGTGAGGGCGGGTAAGCTTTGTAGCTCTCCGACTGACTTTAACAAGTTTGGATGCACAAATTCCCCCTTAAAGGCTTGAGCTGCAATATAATCTGGGTACTCACCCATTAAAAACTAATCTCATGTTGAGACATTAGAAAAGTAAGAGACTGATGAACTGTCCTTTTAAATGGCTGTTTTAAAAAAACAATGATCCTTTTGAAAGACTGCTGAAGGTTATGTGGGTGTTTTGGATGGACTGGTTGTGTCCCCGTGACCAATCGCCCTGCCCTGGTGTGACCCTGGTGATACAAGGCATGCACATGTCCGTCACAACCCACTTCCGCTACCCCTGTGCCCTGCAGTGCTCGTCGACAGGGACCAGAGTCCCAGATGGCAGCCGGCCTCACTGGAGGGCGTCACGGAGCAGTTCCTGGAAGGCTGCTTCGCGCCTCTGGGGGAACATGACCTCAGGCTCTGAGCAGTTTTGCTATGGAGGGGGGTCCTGCCCCTTCAGTCATCTTGACCAACCCCTTCGTGACCTCATCGGCCTCAAACTTTCACTCCTCAATGACCATGCCCCTTCAGTCCTCCCCAGGTGTGCCCCTTCAGTTCTCTTGACCCACCCCTTTATGGCCTCATTGGCCCCACCCCTTTATGGCCTCATTGGCCCCGCCCCTTTATGGCCTCATTGGCCCTGCCCCCCTCGGTCCTCCTCTGTTGCTGCTCTAGCATGTAAAATGTTCAGAGCAGATGCCAGATCTATGTATCTGGGGCAGCAGGCACCCAGTTCAATATTAAGCAGCTTAGCATGTGGGAAGAGGGATGGATAGATTGTAAATTTGCTTTTTAAAATAACATATGTATGGCTCTGTTCAGAGAGGGTTCACTGTTGTTCCAACATAGTGTATTACCATTGATGTTCTTTTTCCATATACATTGTAGACGGTTGTTGGTCTGTGTGTGTCTGCATTGTTTGCTACAGGCAGTAAACAGACAGACAAATCTGCAGAAAGTGTGTGATTGATCGGTGTAGTCATGACTAAATAAACACTAGAACCTTCAGAGTGTCACACGTGGTTCCTGTTTGATATCTGTGTGCTCATTACCGCTAGTCTGCTGTGTCTGCTACGCGTCAAAGAACCTGCTATTAACACCGAACATTTTCCAGGCTGAAAAAATGGGAACGTCTTTAACTGGTGGTATACAGACAGTCCTGAGTGTAAGAACAGCCTTTTAAAAGCCGAGGAGGAATGCAACTACTTAGTAAGTTCTCACATCTGGGGGCGTGTTTACGTTAAACTGACTGGATCAGGTCCGTCCGTCGTTCGAGTTATTTTGGGCCCGGGGTCACATGGCCATTGAGAAGCCAAAAAGTCGAGTCCAGCTTAATGAGCACAGCTGGGAATATCGATCAGGTCTAGATGGAAAAATACGGCTTACAAACTCACACCCTTTTTAAGCAACGGCTAGATTTCTAAACTCATGGAAATCCCTGGTGGTCACTGGTCCTTCTCTATAAATCACTGAAATTTCTTTGTTGAGCTACACGTTTGCTGCGTCTTATTGTCGAGCTGGTCCTGAAAATAGATCCTTATTAATGTGCTCATATTGCACCTTGCTGGTATACAGTGAGAGGCATCCTGAAGTGATCAGTATTGAGCTCAGAGAGGAGGCTTTGATAAACACGTTTAACAAGCCAGGCTGGGACGTAAACAGTGGCTGTGAATATTATCAGGAAACAAAAAAAAAGATACCATCACATGATCACTTGATGTAGTCATTTGTTTGTCACACTGTAGAACCCTTAATTGACGCATCTTTTTCTAATGTGTACTTTTATGTTCATTAACAGTGGCACTATGTGTCATGCGTGTGGACATCGTGTGGTGCATCATCGCATTGGTTATAAGGTTTTACTGGCTTATCATGTACCTCTTTCAATAAGGACACGTGTTGCAAAGCTAAAACAAATTGATCCTTAGCTACAGATAATTTTTATTTAGTATTGTATCCCCATTACATTTATTTAGTCGACACTTTTGTCCAATGCGACGTAAAAGTGAGCATCAGACAGCTTAACAGGAGCAGTTCGGGTTAAAGAAGATATGATTCTCTGCTGGCCATGTGATTTGAACCGGTAATCTTCAGATCACCGGGATAGAGCCACACACCCCCTTTCTTATTCTCTCTCACTAGTTGTTACTTGCTGGAAATCCCTGCTAAATAATAAAAAAATACCAGCACCCTCAAATCAAATGAGACGAGCGTTCATTACACTTGCATAAACAGTCACATTCTCACAAACCCATATGGAAAGGTTTAGTGTAATGAGTCGTTTGTCAGGTACAGTAAACAGTTACTGAAAGCTGAAGTTTATGTGACCAAGCTGGTCTCCCATCTCAGAGGTGTTATTTTGACATTTAAATAAAGACACATCGGTAGTTTACAATTTACAGTTACGTGATGTGCATTCTTAATATGCACCCGATGTATTGGTTATCACGTTATTATGATTGCAGAGTGCTGTGAGGCACCTCTCAGTGTTAATTTAATTTCGTGGCGTGGGTCGGCTTTGGTTCCGGTCCGTGCCGAGCGCCGCAGCGAAGGAAGCCCCAATTCCTGCCCCTGTCCCACTCACTCTGCCATTTGCATGCGTGCCCTGGTCTGCCCTCTTCCCAAACAGCTGGGTTCTCAGAGTTGACTCGCTGCTTTAATCAGATCCTCAGATCTGCCGCCTCGTCTCCCAACCCACTGATGGACCAGTGAATTCCTTCCATAAGTTGCTGGTATGTTCAAGGTGAACCTTTTCCATAAGAACGCCACTTTGAAACAGCAGGTCCCCCTCAGTTAGTGTTAGAATGCTGAGTAGTAAAAGACGACCCTAACCACCCATAAAAATCCCTCCAGCCTCCCCCACTTTGACTTCAGGTGGCCTTCCTTGAGGTCAGGCTCCCACTGTATTCCTCTGTAAGCCATTCCGATGCAGCAAAGCAGGTTACACACTCAGTCGACTGCTAGGAATTTAATCGGGCAGGTAAACCTGGTTCTACAAATCTGGCCTGACAGCTGCAGTCACCAGAATAATGAAAAATGGAGAAGATGCACTTTCCCCCAGAATTCCCTCCTCACAACATGACCATTGACATGTTTCTCCTAGGTGTAATTACATGCGTTTGCTACCCTGTGAATGATTCCTACAATCAAACAGGCATCCTCTGACCCCAGATTGTGCAGTCTCCTTTCGTGAAGCCCTGTATGATTTGTTTAGCTCAGATGTTTCAACAACCGTGCTCTCAGTTTGAGACCCGGGACTAAGTCCCAGATTTTTTCAGGCCCAACAGTGCTCTCGATGCCGGTAAAACACTAGGATAGGAAGTTGGCACTAGAGCATGTGCAGAAGGCCCAACAAGTGAGCAGACGAGCAGACTGCTGGTCATGCTGTCTCCAGCCAAACATATCATGCGTATTGTTTACCGTCTCTGAGGATGGAACAGTGGTGCAGTGGTTAGAATTTTTGTCTCAGACCTCTAGGACCAGGGTTTGTGGCTCCCTCTGTGTGGAGTTTGCATGTTCTCCCCGTGTCGCCATGGGGTCCCACCCCCCCCACTGTCCATCCAAAAACATGCTGAGGCTAATTGGAGTTACCAAATTGGCCGTAGGTATGCGTGTGTGAGTGAATGGTGTGTGTGTGGCCTGTGATGGGTTGGCACCTGATCCTGGTTTGTTCCCTGCCTTGCGCTCGTAGCCTCTGGGATAGGCTCCGGGATAGCCTCCAGACCCTGAATAGGAGAAGTGGTTACAGAAAATGGATAGATGATTTATCTTCTCAAAAAAGCTCCAATTTAACAGGAGGTACCATTTAAGGGCCTTCTGTTGATAATCTCGGGACATTTTGTTCCACCAAGGAACACCTGTCCCTGTATGTTTTTCTGTAACAACCATGTAACCAGCAACCACATTAATCTGGTAAGGAAATTAATTATAATTGACTGTTCAGGACCTCAGCCTTTGTGCTCTCTTGATCCAATCAATTTTATATGCAGAGCCAAGCTCTTTAATGACATAGATTTATACAGCTATTCTCCCTGTGTCGCTGTGGGGTTTCCTCTGGGAACTCCAGTTTCCCCCTCTCCGGTCCAAAAACATGCTGAGGCTAACTGGAGTTGCCACATTGCTAATAGGTGTGTGTGTGTGTGTGTGTGAGTGAATGGTGTGTGAGTGAATGGTGTGTGAGTGTGCCCTGCGATGGGTTGACACCCCATCCTGGGTTGTTCCCTGCCTTGCGTCCATTGCGTCTGGGGTAGGCTCCAGACCCCCACAACCCTGAACAGGACAAGTGGTTTCAGAAGATGGATGGATGGGATGGATTTATACAGCTAACATTTTAGCAGTTCGCGCCTCTATTCTCTCAGTACAGCTTCATTCACAGTGGTAATAAAGTTATCGACTGCAATTTTTTTGTAGATCCAACCTTCTTCCTAGTTGGCCCTTGTCAAAATGCAAACTCAGCACCCATAAAATTGCTGTAATTTAAACTTGGCCAGACTTGCAACTTTGATAAAAAAAAAAAAAAAAAGCACCAAGATCTAACAGGTGCAGAACCCGACCCCCTGGTGTAGATAGCAGAGCAGGCCAAAGGTCTCCCTCATCTGTATCCGTCAGAAGATAAGCGTGAAACGGGATGAATGAACTGACAAAAACACAAGAAAGGAAATAATTTAGTATTTATTGATGAAGCATTTTTCCCCTTTTTGTGGGTGACTATTGTTTTGACTGGACAATGACAACAGAAGCTGAATTATTGTGAGAAACGTCTAAAAAATTCAACAAAAAATTTTAATCCTGAAATGTAAACACATTATTTCCTGACATCATCATTTAAACCTAATAATAATAATAAAAATAACAGAGCTCTCAAGAATCAGAGTATTGGCTTCAATGTGACATCCACACTGAGGATAATTTCTCAGAGCAGTTTTTTTGTAAAGGGATTCAGTCAGTCTTTATATTTAGTGCACACCTGAAATTCAAAGCATGGAAGGAAAATCACAGGCTCTTCTTCAATGGTACTCTGTAATCACACAGAATAAATCATCCTGTGTTTGTTAAAGGAGTCATGATTACATCACTTAAGTCTCAAGTCATAGTAATATATTAACCCTGTTTGTAAATGTTTGTAGGTCCAAAAACAGCCTGGTTTATGTGAGTTATTTTCTGTAATATCTATCCATCAGCATGGATTAAGCTGATTCAGTTCTTTTTTTCTTGTTTTCCGTGCTAAGGAATATTTTTAGTTGGTCAGTATTTTGTTAAAGCACAGTATTGCGAGGTAGCCCCTCCCCATATGTACACAAAGGCCTCGAAACAGTAACGTCAACAGTTTGGCGGGAAAAAGAGCTGAATGTTGACAATGCAATTCAACACATACATTGTTGCTTAAGAGCAAATAAAATGAATGGCATGTACCCTATGAGACATACAACGTATCCTGTTCAACTCAAAGGAAAGCAAAGTAGAGTATCACAGCATCCTCCAAAATGCTGCTGGAATGTACACCTGCCATTTCGTACCGTTGCTGCTGGCTAATGGCACCTCTCTCTGGAGGCCTCACAGCATCAAATGCATCCCAGCTGAAGCATTGGCTGGTGTACCGTGCTACGGCTCGAGATCATAAACAAAACAGAAGGCGAAATCTTTTCAATGCTAAAATCCCCTTTGAAATGAATTCAGAACGGCCCGTGTTGAGGTTCACACTCACCGTACAAAACGATCCAAGCAGGAAAGTTACCGTGCTTGTGCTAGAGTTTGAGAAATTCACCACAAGACCACGGACGCTCTACAGAACATCTGCACTTGTGCACATTCTCCCTAATCTGCAGTTTAATTAACAAGCAACTACAGTAGCTCCTTCAAGGCAACCAAAGTCCCTCACCGGCACTCGCATAGACCTTTGGGAATTGTATTTTGTGCTACAGATTATAACCAAGATATGGCAGTAAAGAATATTTTGGTTTTTTATGGATAAATCTAGACGGGACAAAAAGAACATAAAAAACTTCAATAACTGGCT